GAGAGAGAGAGAGAGAGAGAGAGAGAGAGAATGGAAGGCCGAGGGGTTTTGGGTGGAGGGTTGTGTGGGTGGATGGTTGCCAAGTAATGCACGAGGGTTCGAGATGACATTGTGGCCTGATCCAACTGTCTGCTCTTCGTATGTCTTTGCAGAACTGAGCAGAAAAAGCTGATTGTTCAGGCAGGAGCACAATGGCAGCAGTGGCGATCTCCAGTGCTTGCGCCGAATTTGTCGGCGCTTTCAAAAAGCTTTCTCTCGACTCTTCGTCCTTCCTGAAAGGCGAGAGCAAGTTCACAGCATCTGGTCGTGCAGGACTTGTCTCCTCTCGCCCCTGTCATCTGCCTCTGCAGATCGAATCTGCTCACAAGAAAGGAACAGGAAGCACAAAGAACGGTCGCGATTCCGCGGGCAAACGGTTGGGGGTCAAGATCTACGGTGGGCAACAAGCCATTGCGGGAAACATCATTATCCGGCAGCGAGGAACGACGTTCCATCCGGGAAACAATGTCGGTCTTGGCCGCGATTACACGATCTTTTCGTTGATTGATGGAGTTGTAAAATTCGAGCAGTATGACAAGAAGAGGAAGCAGGTCAGTGTTTACCCGGCGGAGCCGGCGTCGGAAGAAGTGAAGGACAATCGGAGGACGAGGCAGATAGAGTACTGGAGGCAAAGGAGAGAGGCAAGGAAGGCAAGATTAGCGGCTCGGAATGGGACGGCAGATGCACCAATTGCAAATGGTGTGGCTGCTTTGCCAGCTTGAGCTCTGGTCTGTCTGTGTCTCAGAGCTCAGAGACTGTCGTTACCTAACTTGTCAGTTCAAGATTTGTCCACGCCAGTTATTCAGCAGCAATAGTTTGCTTGGTATCTGGCAGCCAGATTGTTGTCTTGGAGGAAAAGTTGGTTTCGCAATACAGAGTTCGTTGTATAGGATAATATATATCGTTCAGCTAGGTTTTGTGACCTCCCTAGAAGTTCTGGTTGTACTTCTGTTTAGGACTACATCGGACTTCTTCTATTGACCACTGGCGGCTTCCTGTTTGTTTTGATAGTCTGTTTTACTTTCTGCCGATTTCAAAGAAAAGACGTCTTCTCGGTCTCTCTCTCTGTGTCCGCGCGCGCGTGTGTGTGTGTGTGTGTGTGTGTGTGTGTGTGTGATGTAGCTTCGGTACACAAGAAGTGTACTCCCCCCTCCGCCCGGCGACCACCAAGGAGAGACCCATGCACTAGACAACTTGAAGACAATTCTCACATTATCCCATAGTNCCCCCCTCCGCCCGGCGACCACCAAGGAGAGACCCATGCACTAGACAACTTGAAGACAATTCTCACATTATCCCATAGTGGACCGAACGTTGACAGCTGAACATTTCAAGCAATAAGGACACAGGCTGGAGTGCACGGGGGAGGTGGGTGGGCAAACAAACAGCACAAGACATTAAGGCACGATGCTGTAAAAATAGTAGAGCAAAAATTCATACGTACAAGAAGAATGTCCAATCTTTTCTCGATTAATAATAACAAACTCTTTTGTTTGTCTAAATAAGTATACGTTTGTTTTGCTACTTAGACAGTGCATTACAAGACATAGGCTAGAGGGCATGGGGAAGGTGGATGGGCAAACAAAACAGTGCAAGGCGGCAAGGCACATCCTCAGCTGGATGGCATGGGTTGGCAAACAGATCAAGGCAACAACGCACACCCAGTGAAAGGCATAGGGTAGGCAGATGGGCAGGCAAACAGCATAAGGTAGCAGGGCAACGATGGCAAGTCAAACAACAACAAGACAAAAAAAAAAAAACTGAAAAAAATAAACAACAACCGAAAAAAATAAACAACAACCGAAAAAAATAAACAACAACCGAAAAAAATAAACAACAACCGAAAAAAAGTAAAGCTGATGATAGATTGTTTCGTCAGAGTTGCACCGACTCATCAGGAGGCTGAACCCTCGACAATTTGCGTGAATCTCCGTATTAGATGGTTTGGGTCATGAACCCTTTGACCCTTGTTGAAGGCAGACTGTCCCCAAGCGGAACATAGCAGCGGGCGACGACCCTGTGGAGCACCAGGCAGCACAGTAGAGGCAACACGGCTGCACAACACCAAAAACAACTGCAAGGAAAGACATGGCACGCAGCGCGGAAACACGGAAGCCACGGCCAGCGGATGAGCAGCAAGGCCGCGGAGTAGCGAAGCGCAAGGCATCACCAGCAACACGGCCACACCACACAGTGAACACAGCAGTATGCAGAGAGCCACATGTGAAGCCAGCAGGACAGGCAGCAAGGCAGCGGTGGAGCGCAGACGAGGCAGTCCACACATCCAACACGGAGCAAAGCAGTGCATGACCTACTCACATCATGGTTGAACCCCGCAGACTGTTGGTTCCCACCACCTACTGAGCCAGGGAGTCACTCCGATGAGTATCCGTCATCACCTACAGGCAACACAGACATCCCGAACTGAGCGGCCCCCATAAGAGTGCAGTTGGCACTCCAAACAATGAACCACCGACTGTTTGGCACTACTCAAGGGTGCTCAGTTTGGGCAAGCAAAAATACTCAGAAAAAGATCAGGGGGAGGACAGACAACAACTGGAAAACAGACAAACATAAAATTGATTGTGTGTGTGTGTGTGTGTGTGTGTGTGTGTGTGTGTGTGTGTGTGTGTGTGTGTGTTGTCATGTTCGTCATACACAACTCCACACAGAAAAAAGCATGACTGTGCCAGACGGTTTGTTGGGATTCGCCGAGTCATCAGGAGGTCCAATTGACTGGCTGCCCAGGATGCATTTGACTGATGGACAAGCAATCACCAGGTCGCTTAAGGTCCATAATACCCCTCAGAAAAGTGGTCGACTCTATTCAGACCAACCCTGTGTCTACTCTGTGTGTGTGTCTGTGTGTGTCTGTGTGTGTGTGTGTGTGTGTGTGTGTGTGTGTGTGTGTGTGTGTGTATGAAAACACATGTAGTACATCCTCAGCATTGCAATCAGACTCGCTTTCTTTCCCACTTTGCACTCATGCAAACAGATGGTGAGACACACTGGCGCACAGCGCCTACTCAAAGCTCAGAGATATGGAAGTCGATAACACAGTTCAGATACAAGCTCGCTTCAACAGGCTATGGCGCATCGGCATCTGTACACTCCAACTCTCATCGCTATCCAACACCACTGTTCGCACTCACTCACTCTGGATCACCCTGGATATCCCACACGCACACACACACACTACTACTCACGCACTCGTCTATCGACTGTGGCGGCTATGGCCGCTGTCCCTCGCTAGCTATGGCTAATCCCTTCAGCCCACTTTGCCTTGGGGCACTCTGCAGACCACCTCGCACGAGTCTCTCAAGCAGCACTTCCGCATGGCTTACGCAGGAATGAAATGAATGGCTGGGCGCTGCCTCTTGATTTATACTTCTGTAACTCGTTGGTCTGCCCCTTTCCCATGCCCTTGGTGCACACAGTCCCATACGGTACTTGCTTGACTGGACTAGGACTGACTGGGACCGGTACCGCTGGCTCAGCACGGGTGGACTTCACCACTTGCCCACTGGCCTCCAGTCTACTGTGAGCAACGTCGGAAGGGCCACTTCCGGACCTTCCGGAAGTTTGTGAGCACTGTAGCAGCGGCGACCTTGACCTTCCAGGACTGTAGCAGCTACGAACTTGACCTTTCAGAAAGGCTACAGCTACGACTTCTAGACTTGCTAAGACCTCTGCTCGACAGGTCTACAGATTGAACCCCTACCACCTACGGACCTACGACAGCCTACCAACTGTTGCGAATACACAGGTCACGGGTTCAACTCGGGGTCGACACAGGTACTGTACACAGGTAAGGTAAGAACTAGGGACCGAGCCCTGGGATCTGCATTCGCTACTCGTTTCAGCACAGACTGTGCACCATACCGACACAATACTCCAGGAGGAAACACACATCTGAGTGAGTCAAGTCAGCAGAGAATCCTTCAAGTAGCATTGCAGGTATACTTGACATACAAAAGACAAAAAGATACTAGCACAAGACCGAAAGGCAGACAAATGGCGCAGGGCAGCAGGGCATTGAAGCAAGGGACATAGGCTGGAGGGCACGGGGGAGACAGGTGGGCAGACAGATGGCACAAGGCAGCGAATGAAAAGGCAGGAAGCCAGAAAGTAGTGAGGCAAAAGAACAACATGCAAA